ATACTAATGGTTTAATACTAATGGTTTAATAATAAATAAAGTATAAATTTTGTTCCCATTCATTTTAACATAATAGTTTAATAATAAGTTTAATTAATCAGAGTTTGTAGTCTTGAAATTCCTGAAGATTTATCCTCATTTACTTTTAGCTTTTTGCTCTGATTTGTCTGTGCTCAGAGCATCGCATTTTCTGCGAATACTAATTAGAATATTAATTAGTAATAAAAATATTTTAAGTTACTTTAGGAAGAATAAGTCTTGATATCCATAAGCTATATAATGAACTGCATCTAAATAAACATAATATTAAATGTGAATAATTTTAATGTTTTTGGCAGCTAATCTATTTTAAAATATGTATAATAATTTGCTTTCATCCATCCCTTTTATCATTTCTTAGTAAATAACCTTATCATTGAAAAAAAGACTTGAAAGAAACATACTCTAAATAATGTTTATATTAATCATATCATATTATACATGACACAATTATGCATAAATTAATAGTTAGTTAAATAATTAGTTTATTTAAGTAATTGTTTTTTTTCCAAATCACTTTCTTTAAGCCAATGCTTTTCTTAAGGATAATAGTTGAAGGGATGTGTGACTATAATAATTTACATGCATATCTTTTTTACTATTTCTTAGAGAAATACCATCATTATTACTGAAATCAGGTTTTTTTTTTAAAAAAAGGAAACATAACTTAAAGAATGCATTTATTAATTAAATTCTGGAATATATTTCCATAATTAAATTCATAATTTTCTATAAAAAAAATTCTGCCTATCTTAATCAATGGCTTTTAAAAAAGTTGATTTAAATCAATGATTTCTTCGTTGATATTATGCTTCTGCACATACCATTTAATATATCTATAGTAAAATATTTTTTTGCAGGAAAGCTAGGTTCATTGAACAGTAAAGCTTCTGAAATTGAATATATAGAAAGAAATTATTGTAATAGTCTACAGTGTTGGTGTATCTGTCTTATCTTTGATTTCTTACACGAAAATTAAATAATACTCTTTTCTTAAGGTCATATTTTATTTTAAGCTTAAAGCATTTTATTCTTGTAAAAATTCTTGCTTTATTCATTTAAAATTTTTAAATTGGTGTGTTATTTACAGTTACACAACAATTTTTTTTTTTGAAAAAATTATTTAAGACACATCTGGTATATGTAATACTTAATATTTAATAAAAATAATGATTTGATAAATGGGCACATACTTCTGAGATAAATAAACTTTAGTGTCTAAGTTTTTATCAAGAAAAGCTAGTTGTAGGTTTTAAATAAATAAGCATTATTTTCAAAACTTAAATAGCTTATATATTAAGTTGCATTATGTTTTATCTTAGAATAAAAATTTGTATTCAATTTTACCTATCTCGTAATATGTCAAAAAGATAAACACCCAATTCTAAAAAAATGTTTTCATATGCTTCTACTTTAATGCTTCTTCTTATATGAAATAAAAAAGAAATCTATTTTATTGTGTGAGAGGATTCATTTAATGATAATTGATTAAAATTTTTTTCCATCATTTCAATTTTATATTTGCATAAAATTGTTTGCATGCAATTATAGTTATTATTTTATTACAATATAAAAAAACTAAAATGCAATAAATTACTATCACTGATATCAGCAAACTATGACAAACACTCGTGACAATTTATATTCCCCAAATAAGAATTGTTGTCAACAACATACAGCAAAAGTTAAGCATTTAAGATAAAGCCTTTGAAATTAAAAGCTACGATAAGTTCTAATAAAGGTAGGTCAGCGACGAAAAAAAATTGCTGAGACATCTAAAATAAAGATGTGATGCCGGCAAGGGAGCCATTAAAGTTTTCTATTGAACAAAGTGTAAGGTGAGTTAAGGGTGGTATATCGGCAAATAAGGCAAAGAAATTCGCCTAAGCACCGGAAATAAACGTGCGAATGATACTGGCGAAGATGACATAGACGTTTTCTAATCAACCTACAGTTAAGGTGGTTTAACGGAAAGGCGATGAAATAAACTGTGCCAGTTAATATATTCAGCTTTAAATAAAATGGCAAAAAAGATATCATAAAGGTACAATAAAAGCTTTTATTTATGGCAATTTTCTCTTTATTCCGTGAAATAAAATTTGTTTCCTGGTATTTAACAGGCAAAAATGGTAAAACAATCCAGAGGTAACAAAGGTAGTTCCGGTCCTTTAGCGATTGCCAGAAGTTGCGCTTGAAATACCATGCACTGGTCCTTATTTTGGCCCGGATTTCCCTTTATTAAAGGAACCAATACGGCAACCACCAAATCACTTTAATTAGCATTTTCGGAGAGACGGAATTGCCCCTTTGCAAGCCCAAAAGTCGTGTACTTGTTAAGAAATGGTTTCTAAAACATTGTTTCTCTACTGAAAATGAAACTATATTGTAAAATTATCACGATAAACTAACATAGTTGCTCTCTTTCTAAAAAATTTAGGAATCAATGGATAAATATATGTTTGGTAAATATTATACAAATCCTAATACACCAAAACAAAGAGGGGGTGAATGTAGAAACAGATAAGAAAAGAAAAAGAATTGTAGAACATATTGCAGTAAAGATTGTGGAATTTGCGTTTTAAAAAAATTACCTATTGCATATAACAATGCTACCTTTATTTAAAAAAAAAATTTCAAATAATTACCATAAAATGGAGTGGCTTTGTGGGAGGCAAGGTGAATATTTGTCTCAGATGTTTTCTGGGTTTTCAAACTTGTTATTGTTTCAAGAGAAGGTTTTCAAAATTTAAAAAAAATTCTTATGGGAAAATGAAATAGAGGAGAGTCGGGTATCCCCGCCCACTTAAGGAGTATTGCTTATATTTCTGTATAATATTGGGTAATAATAAATATTTTTGAATGTTTTTATTGTTTTATCATCTAATTAAATAATGCAAAAAGAATGAACCAAAAAAGAATAGTTTTACTTATAAAAATAGAAATGTGAAAAATTTGACTACTGTATTTACCATATTTTCAAAACTATTGTTTACCATGTTACCAGCTGCATAAATACTTGAAACTTTGAAAATAATCATTTTTTAATATAACAATTAACGTCCGATGGCCCATTGACTTGAAAAAATATTCCATACATATGAAATTGACAGTGGGCGGGGGTACCCGACACTCCCCTAATTATTTCATAAATAAAAAGAAGTTAATAAGAATTCAAATAATCGTATACATTCAACAGAAATAAGAATTAAAAGAAAGATTAAAATTTAAAAATAAAGAAATGTATTCTCGATATTATATTTTAAACATTAGAATTATGCAACAAAGTTTGACGAGTTGCTTTGTGAATATTTTAATATGAAGTTTCTTGCCTGAAAAACTCACCATCTTTATAAAAATAGAAATTATTTCTAACATAAGTAATCAAAGTCTTAATTGGAACAAATTATATTTGATTTTATATTATATTTGACATAGAACAGCCGACCCAATTTTGAGTTTACGACTACTAATGTTCAACTCCATAGCCTTGTAATTTTGAACCAATCCGGAAGACAAGGATACTCCTGGATCAGTACCCCCAGAGGTATTGTTTGTTACGGACTTTGGAACTCGACAGATTTAACGCGCATCAGTCACCATTTACTTCACGGGGAGTCTCCAACCGCACTGGGATCAAACTCACAAACTCTTGGACATTGACCCAGTGCCTTACTTACCAGGTTATTCTTGCCCATTGGAACAAACTACAATAAGTTTGAATTTTATTAGTTTAAGGCGAATAAATACTCTAAAAAGAAACTTTAGCTAGAAAATAGTTTATTATCCTTGCCACCACTGAAACTATGTGCTGCTGCGGTAAATCAACTGCATTGAATTTTCCATCTCATTATACGACAGTATATTTAAAGATACAATTTAAAATAATTGTTATTCATACATCCATAATCAATTTTTCATCATCAAAGAGAAATTCAAAGGATTCAATTTCATCAATAAAAAATTTCATTCAAACAATCTTCCCATCTCTATTTCCGCTATGATTATTGAGGATAAATGTCATCTCATGATGATGATTGTCATCACATTAAACAGAAACATCATAAATTACAAACGATTTGATTGGTTCAAGCGTTAGTTGATTTTAATTATAAGCAATTTTTTCTTAGAGGAGAGAAGCGGTTGCTGATATTTCGGGTAACTGCGATTCCTACATTACACAAGTATTTTCCAGCAATTTTTCGTCGAGAATGAGGATACGATTGCGCATTCGATTGACTTGCCGGTTTCGTTGCCAATAATTTTCGTGTGATATGCCTATTAATGAAAGAGCGGTTATTATAAAAGGAAACAAAAACAGTGAAAATATTGCTCTGAAAGGTTTTTCTTCATCGAAATCGTAACTAATCTATTTCTTTCCAAATTTCAATGTATATGTTAAAGATTTATAATTCATTTTATGTAAAAAAAAAGTGGTATAGGTACTATTAATTATACTTTTCTATTGAATTTCTTTTTAAATTTAAATAAAATAGAAGCAACTATAAATATTTTATAGAAGATTCATTTAAAAGTACTTAATATTTTTGCACACCTCAATGGCTCCCATTCAAATTTATTTGGTGATTTTGGAGTGTTTTATTAGTACAGAACAATTAATATATAAATTTCATTTTCCAAAATACCTCGATTTCCTTTAATCAGCATTTTTCTTTTAAATGTTGTATATTTTTGATTAACACCCTCTCAATAATGTTTAAATACATCTAAATAATACAATTTTTATTGATTGATCCCTACCTGCTTATGGAAACCATTGGAGTATTTATTAGTTCCAGTCAATTAAAACTATCATCGAATAAAATTCTGATGCACACATTTTATACGGATGATGAGATTTTCAAATAAATAAGGCTTATAAAAAATTTATAACTAGAAAAATATTTTACATCATTGGTTTATTTGAAACATCTATGAATTTAAACAAGTCAAGAAATTTCTACCTTTTTCTGCAATATTATCTTCTTTCTTTCAGCTGGCAATACCCCCTTTTTTGGTCTGAGTAAAATGAAGATACGTTTGATTTGAGGCAAATTTTGGAGAAGAATTCCCAACAAAACCTAAAAGAAAAACGATCAAGTTATATTCAAAATGAGCGAAGCTTTGGGATTAATAGCTATAATTCTTTAACTGTAGTCCTCAACAAGTGTTTCGTGGGAGGATCACAGTTTAGGACTTTTACAAAAGTTAGAACTTTTTTTCTTCTCTAGCCAGCAATGACTTATTAAACTACATCGATTTCCGATCAATAATTCTTAATTTATTTAATATTTTGATTATTTATATGAAATTAGTCAAGTAAAAGTTTCAAAAAACATTTTCTTTTCATCTACAATATATTTAAGAAATTATGAAAAGGATAAGAATTTATAAGAAATTAAATCAATGTTTCTCATCAGAATTTTCAATTCAAAATAAAATTACCAAATTTTAGAATAAAGAATTATGTTTCTTTGCCAATCATTCATAACAGTTATAACAGTTTTTTTTTCAAATACCATAATTCAGCTTAGTTTGTAGATTTTTTTTTAAATTTATGTATATACCAAGAACAGACTCTGTAGCCCGTCCAGATCAGTGAACTTAAATGTCTGGCCTAAAACATATTTTAAAATATAGTATTAACGAAACAGTTGAGAATATTTTATTTTTCACGCTAAATATTTTCAAAATAATTTGTTGTCTTTCTTTTCTTAATACATTCACAGCTGCTAATAAGCTTTATATATAGAATCGGGTACCGCCTCAAAAGCTTTATCACTTTTGGAAGTTGAAGAAAATTATGAAACACTGTTTTATTTGAAGCTTTTTGATTAGCTTATTCATTTTATACTCATTCATTAGATTTTGAAGTGCCCCAGAAGAGTGGTTGGCAAATTGTGGTTATCGAATCCTATGTGAAATTTCAAGGATTCGAGAGTAACTTGCATTGGGATGAAATTCGGGTGAAATATGTTGCGAAGCAGTGGTTTCTGCCCCTAGATTAATCTTTTGTTCAACTTGTCTGATAAAAATGTCTGGTAAAATGACCGTTTGTATAATAATGACACTTCTTATAAAAAAAAAAGCTATTTTTTGGATTAATAAAATAAAATATAGGGTATTTCAACTATTCATTTAGTATTTTTTAAGTTCATATGGTAACGGGTTATCGGAAACTCTAGTTTTTAAAATTATAGTGTTTATAACCACAAATTTTGTAAATACATTCCTGAAAAGTTAACCAAATGAATAGTTTTTTTGCCATGCTCTAAGGTACCATGATAAAATTACCAAATTTTAAATCATTTTCCAAAGTTTACCACACTTTCTGAATTTATTACACATTATAAGACCATATTTTACAGTGAACTCTAACAAATTGATTACGAAAGCGCTTTGGTAAAAACTGCCGAGTGTTTTAGGCTCCCACAGAGTCAGAAACACGGAAAATGTTAACATATTCTGATACTTTTTTTTACCATACATTTCTTATATGGACGGTTAAATACGATGGTGGGTATAAATATGTGCGGAAAGTACCATTAAATAAAGGGATTTAACAATTGATAGAAAGTTCGGAATTATTATTTGTTGAACTTGAAGTAAAAGGGACCCTGCGGCCCACTGGAATACAACAAACGAGTTGACGTGCTGAAAGAGTAATTTTTGGAAATGAACGACCTAACGCATTTAATTTTCAAAATTCCGATTTGTTCCAAAATTATTGATATTGCAAATGTTCCCTTTTTTTTTTCAAAATATTTCTCTTTATTCACTTTATTTTCGACCCTGAGGTAGAAGTTTCAGATAGAAAAATTTCTGCTGATGTAAACTTAATTGCGTAAATCCGCATCTCAACGATCAAGTAATTGCATATCAAAATGGGATAATTTTCCAAAGATTTTTTTTTTCATATCTTCATCTGATATTTTAAAATATAAAGAACACATTTTCCGGCAGAAATGCGACACAAAAACTAAATTTAGAACAACTGAGTATTCCAAGTATATACAAACTCGGAGCGTCCGAAAAAAGAAATAATCACGTCAATACTATGATCTCAGATGAGAACCTCTAGATTTCCATCAGGGCTTGTTTGCTTTTTTAGGATAGATGATGAATATTTGCTTTTAATGATAATTATTTGCCCAGTGTCAAAAATATTTATTTCTCGAGATTTTTATTTTATATACACTTGCTTGTGTTGATGAGGAAAGTAATGAATAACAAAAACAAATTAAAACAGAGTAGAGGTAGACATTAGATGTTGACAGATATAACAACTTTACATTTATCTCGTAATTTTCAAAAACATAAAATACCTTATTGAAAGGGATAAAAAGGATAAAATCGTTTCATATCTGAATTAATATAAAGGCATAAAAGGCTATCATAATATATCGTTATATATCGTTAAGTGATTGATATCTGTCGTTAACGAGTAAAATTACACTTCACTTATTTCTTCATATCGTATCACATATTTTGTTTCCTCAAATCCAGATTATTTTCTTTCGATTATTAACAAAATTCTGTTACATACAATTATAATAAGTATATATTAGGAAAATGTTCTTTTTTGTGGAAAATATCGACTTTTAGAACATATTAACAAAATGTACTTGCGTGAAATTATAATCATTATCCGAGATAATTAATCGGATAATTATTAATGTTTAAAATTGTACTAAAAAATATCACATGAATCGCTCACCATACACGACGAAATGTAAATACAGAATTGAGATTAAACGTGCTGAAGGAATCATTCTTATTTATGAATTTAATATTTTTTCAGACAAAATTTTAATATGTTCGAAAGTTATTGTAATTTAATGAATTTTTCGTGATTTTTCCCTTCTTTTTTTTGCTTTAAATAAAGACTATCTATTTATTGTTTTAATTTTTTTTCTTAGTTTTATCAATAAAATCTTCTAAAATTTCAGCATGCATTTATTTTTTTTAACGGCAAAAATATTACAAAAATATTTTCAACTATGATGAAACTTTCTAAGCAGTGAAATGCACCGTTTTTATTACGAAACAAGTGAATTTTACACTACTCTTTGAAACTATTTCCAGAACCCTTGTCAGAAACGAAGTATGAAAAAAATATAGTAATAGTATAAGGGCAAATTAAAATTTCTTAATATAACTCCCATGACATTTCTAAATATTTGGGGCAGCTGCGGTGCATGTGATTTTCAAAGACATTTTTGAATACTTTGGAAATCTCTGAAACTGAATAGGCGTTAACACTATTCAGTTTCGTACTTTTGAAAATAAAAATAAAACGTTTTCTCAATTGAACAGAAACAGGCTATTAAATGAAGTTCACTCAGATTTTAGGAAATATTTTTGCTCAGTTAAAATTAGTTTCTGATATAATTTTTTGCTGTGTTGGAGCTAAAATACAATTATTAAGATTACATTGTAAGGAAACAGGGTTTAATCCTTGCTTTTTTAAGGAATATTCAGTCAAATTTTGATTTAAAAAAAAAGCTTTTTTTCCCCTATTTAAGTTTTAACCTGAGACTCCAAACGACTTCCTTATTGGAAATTATATAAAATATGGCGGTAATTATTAATGGTGGTAATTATAGGAGAGTCTGCATGTTTCAATCAATATTCAATTCAATTCAATCAATGCTAAATTATCAGCACATTTTTCTATTCAATTTTAATATTTAGTCAATATTGATTTTATGCGGTAGATTTTATATTATTCGATTTCATACCAATAAATTTTATGATATGTAATCTGATTGCACAACATGTAGATATTAGTAAGTTACAAACCAGAGAATTTGTTTAATGAGTATCTCCTTTGCAAGTCATATACTGAACTTGGCTTTACATAATAATGTTTCAACAAGACAGTAAAATATTACTGACTGACCAATTCATGTTATGTCTTACTGTTCTTTGATCTCTATGATTCTTTATCAAATCATCTTTATTACTTGTATTTTTACTCTATAAGAAAAATATAAATTCAAAGAAAAAATATTGCTCAATAAATGATAAGACGATATTAGCAATAAAAAAGAATATCATGCTTGAAAATTTATGATGCAAAACGGAAGATTAATTATAAAAAAAAAGAGAAGTGGTTGAAACTTATCAACATCTGTAAAATATGGTGTTCTGGTGGCTTTCGAGTTAAAGTGTTGACGAATTGAATGTACTAGTAAATATATAATATTGAAATGATATAATAAACATTGATGAATACAAAATCTTGAAATGATATGATAAATATTGATAAATATATAATATAATAACTTTGAAATGAAAAAGCATGCATTTAAATGGTTCAAGGTGTTTACAAAAACAGGATGTTTTTTTATATAAACGTAAGTTAAGAGTAACTAATAGGGAAAACTATAATTAAATGAATCAAAGATAGCATTAAAAATGATATAATACTACTGTGAATGCCACTAATAGACGGTTAGTTTAAAACATATTCATATAAAACATATATATATATATATATATAAGAAAAGATGCACAAATATAGTGTATAATACACACATAATATCGCTAAAATTAATAGAATCTAAAATTGTAATTACCGATCCAAGAAATCCACTCACTCCAGTGACAAACAAAGATTTTTCATCATAAAACTCGGACACACGTTTGTACTCTTTCTTTTTATCTTCCACACTCATATTCTTTTAGTCAAAATAAATAGATATACGTAGATGAATATTCGTTCACAAATACCAGCCTAGTTTTTCTTGAATGTATCTTTAATTTTTCAGAAAGAATTTCGAGATTTCTTTTCTTTTTTTTTTCTTAAAATAAAGACTATCTATTTATTGTCTTTAAATTAAATTTCTTTCCTAAATTTGGATAAAAAAGTTTCTGGGATTTCTGTAAATATTATTGAATTTTAACAGCAAAACATGTTTCGAAAATATATTTGACAAAGACAAAGCTTTTTTAATGCTGTGAAATGTACCGTTTCTGATTAAGAAACAAGTGTAACTTTCAATTTTACACACTACCCTTTAAAACTATTAATAAAATTAAAATACTATAAAAAATTGACAAAGATTAAAGAAGTTCGTTTGACAATGTTTGAAAATCTGAACGAGTCTTAGAAGCTGAAATACAATTGTTAAAAAAAAAACTTTAAGCTTGCTATGGCGATGAAACAGTTTTTTTCCTCCCTTTTTTGACTAACGCATTTTTCTAAAGATTTGCTTTTTTTCCTCATTTAAGTTTTAATTTGCGATCCCAAACGACTTCCTTATTGAAGGGGATATAACGGATAAATATATATTAATATTGGTAATTATAGTTTTTTTTATATGCTTTTTTTTCTTTTTAAATCTTATACTATAATTGCCCCA